CCCCAAAACCCCAAAACCCCAAAACCCCAAAACCCCTAGTGAACATAAAAGTATTGATAAATAAAATAAAATGAGCGTGAAGAATAGAAAGCACAATGGGAATTTCAAAAATGCCAGTGCTTTTGATAATACCCTGTAAGCACCTTTAGAGAGAATATCTAACGCCGAATCTAATTCTTATGAGCATAATAAAGTTTTCCTAAGTTAAAAGAAGCGGTTTCAGATTTATTATAATCTTTCTTGAATAGGGCATTCAATAATCCATTCATGATGACGATAAAGAAGGACAAAACACTTTCATTAAGAAAGAGTATGGGCAAACTCCCTCCTGAGGTGTATAAGTTTGGAAGAGTGATGAATAATAACTATAAAACAGGTGTTAGCAAGGATTTCCCCTTACGTACACCATATACTGAGTCCCATCAGCTCTCTAAGCAGATATTTGATTTAGAAAAACCAGAATACATGCAAAGGATGGCAAAGGTAAATACAGAAACTTAATTTATCAGAGGCAAGCCACAAACTACACCTCTAAATTAGAGAAATCAAGGAGGTCTATGAGTAACATCCCTAGGGCACATACCTCGCAAGCCTCGAGAGCTAGTCTGAAAAGTAGTATTAATTTTAACAGAAAGGAATCCTTTGGTAATTCATAACTTAACTGTAGACACAATAAAGCTTAAGAAGAGTAATAATTTAAAGATCTTTAATATGCAACTGAAACAAGGGATGCCAAAGGAGCTCCAAGAGAAAATCTCCTTCATGACCAGAGTCGGATCAGTCAAAATGAATAAGGTGTTTAAGACCCTCTCACCAGATCAAAGAAGGTTTCTTCAGGCTTTTTAGGATATAGGGAACTCAGGAAGGAAGCAAAATATCTACCATTCTCCCAGTATTATGGCGATGGTGAGTTTATGACAGAAATGATGAAGAAAAATGGAACTAAATCTGTCATAAGTGATTACTGAGATACTTTCAACAAGAAGGTCAAATCGTTAAAAGGATCTAACTGTAGCAGCAATGCAGATATGTAATTATTCAGCAATATTGATTAAATTTAGTGAAATAGAAAAGAATAAGACTTCCACTCCTCACTCAATTCCTAGAATGACAGCTACAATGGATCAAAGAAAGTTTGCGTCTATAGAGATAGGTAAGTATTATACAAAATCTCTTACTAAAATTCTAGATTCTTTAAAAGAAGACATGAATAATTCCTTAAAACTTAAGTCTAACGCAGTTAAAACCGCTGTGAACAATAAATAAAATGGAGGACATTACTCGACAACTAGAGGATACTTTCAAAACCACCAGGATGTCTCTCACAACTGCTGATACAAAGTACTCTCCCCTTTTACCATAGGTACTCCTCTGTATTCGCTCAGTTGAAATAAGGAAAACCACAGAAAATCCTTGCCTAGAACAATCTTGCACAAACCGTGTAACCCCAAGCCAAAATCCAAGAGACCTTCTTCTACGTAAATCCCTTCTTCCTCATCTTCATTCCCAGATTCCCCTTTATTTCCTCAGTACCTCTACTGAGGAAGCCAAGTCGAGTGTCTAAATTTCATATAGTACATTCTCGTGTGGCCTAACCATGAAAAGTCAGGGATCAAAGAGAGCAAAGACTAGGTACTCTAACAGAAAGATGCTTGATAATATTGAGAAAGGAGTAAGGGATAAAGGGGATTTATAGGTGTTTGATTATTACTGGAATATGAAGTCAGTGAGGCAAGGTAATGCAGCTAAGATGCAGATGTGGATGCAAGAGCAAAGAAAGAAAGTTAAGGTTAAAAGTACGAGATTGTAGGAGAAGTAGCGGGGTTTGAGTGGTTGAGGGAGTAGAGGAGAATAACGTAAGTATTTTATTGAATAAAGGCAAATTTTTAGAGAAAAATTTTGTTGGCTCTATAGTCTCTGATAATTCATGATTATATGCACAAAAGTATTTGATCACTTTATGTCTTTAAAACTTTGATCCCCTATACCTTAAATGAAGATAGTCTAGACTCTAAAAGAAGCTCATACACCATTCACACCACCTAAAACTCTCTATTCAACAATCCAAATTCTCCCAGGGGTTTTGGGGTTTTGGGGTTTTGGGGTTTTGGGG